TTGGTCACGTGAATCCGTTCGCGCGAAATTTGCATCTGCAGTGCTGTTCAAACCTGGCGCGAGCTACGCACAGAAGTACGTTTGTACGATTTTCTTGACCCGGGTTGATTTCAACCCTCCCCTTGGGGGGAGGGTTGAAATCAACCCGGGGCGAAATTTCAACCCGGGTCAAGCGCAATGCGTCATGTAAACGCGCCATTCACTTTGTGCACATGGCGGGTTGAAATCTGACCCGGGTCGAACTCAACCCGGGTTGAAACGCTTCATGTAAACACAGCCCAAGAGTACATAATCCCCAGGGGGTTATGACTTATGTACTCTTGCCGTCACTGATTGTAGTGGACTGGACAAGTAAGTTAGTTATCAAGGGAGTCGTAAACCTATGACTTCCTGGTGCATCTACTTGTACTTGTACTTGTACTTGTACTTGTACTTGTAGAACATGTACGTGATTGTACAACTGTATGGAATTTGATGCAATTTGCGTCGAATTATGCGATTACTCGATTTTGGTAGGAATTATGCGAAAAATTATGCTAGCATAATCTGTCAAGGCCTATCGGGAAATGTGACCAAATAGAACTTCTGCTCTGGTCATCAGTCATGCAGCATGCAGCTAGCTCCCTCGATCCTTTTGGCTTTCTGGGGCACTACCGTATATGGTGCGTGGGACGCTCAAACAAAGAACTGTACAAGTAAGTTGTACCGGGCGCGGGTTTCAGGAGACGCATCACGCGTTGCCTCCTGCTACAAATAATGCGTTTCGTGCCTTCGACATGTCGACAGTGAGTTTGCGGTGTGTGTGTATCTGGTGCAAAGATGACCCCGTCGATCGACCGCCGAAGCCCTGCAGCAAAAGGAAAAGTGCTGCATGCACTGCTTCCTTTGTCGTCTTTTCGATGTGTAGACCAGGGAGTAGTACAATACTCAGGGAGTAGTACAATACTCCCTGGTGTAGATCAGACCAAGCAATGTACTACAATCATGTAGTAGTCGTTTGTAAGGCGGACGTGCAGCAGACATGTAGCCGACGCTGATTTATGCACTCTTGGTCTCACATGTCAGTGTTTTTCGAAACGAAACTCCCCTTGACCCATCCACCCATATACGAAACTTTTTCTCTTCGTGTAAAAGATCGATAATTATGGACCGCCCCCAACACGTTGCAAAGGGTTCTCGAGCATGCCACGATCCGGTGACAAGCAAAATGACAACATATTCGTCCGATTCGTGACAAGCGAATCAGTCGTCACTACCATAATATGAATATTGACAACTTCCGGATTCGAAAAGTGGTCATTGGCTACCCCAGCCATGTATTGCTTGGAATAAAATAAATAAATCCCGTTTGTCTCTTTCCCTCAAACCAGTTAACAAAATAAATAAACATTCGAATATTCCCTGAGCTCATGAGCTGAATGGAAGGGATCGGGAAATGACTATGTGACCAAATAAAATTTCTGCTCTGGTCATCACTGGTCATCAGTCATGCAGCATCAGCTACATTTGGCTTTCTGGGGCACTACCGTATATGGTGCGTGGGACGCTCAAAGAACTGTACAAGTAAGTAGTTGTGCCGGGTTTCAGGAGACGCGTCGCGTCACGCGTTGCCTCCTGCTACAAATAATGCGTTTCGTGCCTTCGACAGTTTGCGGTGTGTGTGTATCTGGTGCAAAGATGACCACGTCGATCGACCGCCGACGCCCTGCAGCAAAAGGAAAAGTGCTGCATGCAGCAGACATGTAGCCGACGCTGATTGGCTGGCCGAAGACCCCCCACGGTTCTCGGGTGGTGTATGAGAGAGGCTTCAGGCATTCGACCAGCACAACTCGCTGTCAAGCCGTCCTTTCAGTTGTGCCATCTCTTCCTTCGTTTGGTTTTCACACCACCATCTTCTCTCATCATGTCTGACAAGCCAGATATCTCCGGAGTCGCCTCCTTCGACCGCACCAAGCTGAAGCACGCCGAGACTCAGGAGAAGAACACTCTACCTACTGCTGAGACCATCACCCAGGAGAAGACATCATAATGCCAACGTATGTAGCTCTATAATCCTTTCCTCTCTCGTCTAGCTTCTTTCTCCTCGTTCTCTGTGATAGTCTCCTCTTTCCTCCTACCTTTCTTTTGGAAAATTATCTAGCAGTTATTCATTTTTAAGCATCCTTTACTCAGAGCCTCAATAAATATGGCCAGAGCTATGGGCGCAAACGCTTCGCTTTGTTTTGAATTTTGAACTTGGGCTGCTGTCCTTGCGCAGTAGAATTGCTGTTAGGTGTTGTAAATTCTTCATCCTACATTTTAGAACAAAAAAACTTCCTAACCTCAAAAATCTTGTGAGCTTGGTTGATGTGTGTGTTGGCATGACTTGGGACTGTCTATTCCCCTTATGACGGGAGGTCGTCCTTTGTGGCCGGGCTTTGTGAAGGTTTGGGTTTCAAGAATGTGCATGACTGTAGCTCGATTCTCATTTCGACTCTTGTGTCGAACAGCATTAATTTGTGCTTTGCATGCCAGCACGGATACCGTGTATCGTCTATAGTTCTGGTCTACTCGGAGGGAGTTGTGGTTGCTCGTGAGAGTGCTCAATACACCAAGGTGCAGAGCCTAGTACACACACTTGAGAGGAACGGAAAGCGTTTCTTCTGTAACTCTGAGTTTCACGGTTTTAACCGATCATCAGACAGCAACTTGACTACAATTTTCAGAAGATAAGATTTATATAGGCTGCTAGTTCTGGTCTACATGTACAATTGTAGTTGTTCCTCTACCCTGGATCAGTAGTCACGAACACAGTTGAGTCCTGTGTCTTGATCAAGCTGGGATGCAGATCCGCATCCATGCCACGATTGCTGTGGGAAGGGGGGCGCTCTCTTCGGTCCAGTCTCCTCAGGCCTCTGAAGTTGGTTTCTCTGTGCAGTAAGCTGAATTTTGTTTTATTTGGCACTTATGACATCAGGGGATGGCCCACGCCTGGTAAAAAAACCAATGAGGAGCTACAGTGATAAAGGACCATCAGTGAAAAGGTATATCATTCTCTGTGCAGTGCTGTAATTTGGCAGAACTCCTAACTAAGGCTAAGGTACAAACTTCGTTGTTCTCTTGTTCATGCACTAGAGCGTGCTACATAATCGTTGTTTGTACTAAAAGCTGCACGCTCTCAGTCTCTGGACTTGTTCAAACTTTATGTAATACTCTTGTGTAGACAGTTACAGTCCATTTCAAAACTATAGACACGTAGGGTTCTTGAAATATTTCAAATTTAGCTGGAACTTTTTGAGAATAGTTTTCGGAATATTGCTCAGGTCCGCTCCACAATTACTCTCATATAGTTTCTAAACGATTGGATAGCAGACGCCCAATTTGGAAAAATGTATGCACAAAGTGATCACAGATTTTATGAGGTAAAGATGCTGGCATAACGGTTTTTGCCTACAGTCCATTTCAAAACTATACAGTAATTGTGGAGCGATCCTGAGCAATATTCCGAGAACTATTCTCAAAAAGTTCCAGCCAAATTTGAAATATTTCAAAAACCCTACACGTCTATAGTTTTGAAATGCACTGTAGGTACGCGTCGATAGTTTTGAAATGGACTGTAGTAGTGCAAAATGTCACTCAATTAATATTTGAAAAAGCCCTGAAATTATGTGGCGCTTATGTCAGATAACGCGGTAATACAACAAGACGGACCCGAATTCCAGGAAATACCTCATTGTACTCTCTGGTGTATGGCCTGCTAGCATGCTGCAGTGTAACCGTCTAGTCAGACATCGCGTAACTGCACATGCCCGTTTTTCGCAAAAAAAGATATCCGGATAGGCGAGTAGCCCTTTCCCAAAGGTGCTCGCCCTTTTGGGAAAAGCCCGTTTCTTTCGCCCTTTATTGCGTTTTTTGGGGAATATCGCCCTTTTTGAGCTTTTTTAAGGTGGCAGTTCCCCTTTTCCGTATACTACACTCTTTGGACCAGAAGTCATGAACAGCTAGGAATATCCAAACCAAACTTGGCAGTGATGTTGAGGGTGTTCTTACCTGGGTTCAGAATCATTTTTCACACATCTCACATATCTTGAAGTGCCGAACTTGCTCTCAGCCAAAATGCGTTCATATCGCACGTACAGGGCAAGGATTGAGCCAAAAGAGAACAGAGGATAATGGTGCCCTGCAGTGTAAATTTGCTCAGAACTCATGCAGACTGACAGCAGGTGCTTCACTACAGTCCATTTCAAAACTATAGACGCGTACCTAGGCAAAAACCGTTATGCCAGCATCTATACCACATAAAATCTGTGATCACTTTGTGCATAAAATTTTCCAAATTGGGCGTCTGCTATCCAATCCTTTAGAAACTATATGAGAGTAATTGTGGAGCGATCCTGAGCAATATTCCGAAAACTATTCTCAAAATGTTCCAGCCAAATTCCAAATATTTCAAAAACCCTACGCGTCTATAGTTTTGAAATGCACTGTAGCACCATTGATTACACAAGAGTTAATCTAGCCAGAAGCAGTTCATGGTTAACAGGTACGTATACTTCAAATAGAAAGTATATGAACCCTGGAACCAACAAAGGTGGCAGGTACAACATTACACCTTCAAGCAGCCGAGCCCGTTGGCAACAGACCCAACACTATCAGGCATACGTGTACCCACCAACCGAACTAGCACACACACACACACACACCAGGGATGAATTTATCCTGTATCGCATCGCAGTTTGCTACGCAAAATCGATCTACTGCTACTCAAAAATCACAGTGACATGCAGAAAACTGCCATACATACATGTACATGCTATCCATGCTTTTTGTAGCTTACGCCACAAATTAGATTTTGCATGGCAAAAACTGCTATGCAAAAACATGACAGTAAATTCATCTCTGCACACACACACACACACACACACACACACACACACACACACACACACACACACACACACACACACACACACACACACACACACACACACACACACACACACACAAGAGGCGACAGGCACTTCACGCACATAGTAACCATGGTAACATGGCCAGCTGCAACTTAACACTTTGTTCTTTCATGACCTAATTGATGAGATGGTTACAGATACAGAAGCTTAAGCGAGCACACAAACACAAGACACCGGGAATGAGCAGACGGAAATGCACAAGACGTCCACAGGACAGGCCCGGAACCCGTGGATATTATGGCGAACTGGGAGAGACCGAACGTGACGTAAGACTGGCCAGTGCTCAGGGGAGAACACCAGCTGACGGCGAGGCGGGGAGGAAAATAATCATCTCTACTTTATATAGCAGGCTCTATCTTCTCGAGAAAAAAAGGTACCGAAAATAGGAAGGAAGGTAGGAGCGAGAAAAATAAATAATACCGGATTAAAAGGATCCCAATCCTTTCAAAAATACCGGATTAGTATGAGTTTTGTAGTACTATTAAAGATATGTGGGGGAAGGGGGTGATCAACACTACAGAGGATATTGTTTGATCGCACCAGGTGCGTGGTGATCAGTGTGGTGGTAGTGAACTACTCCAATGTTTTACTGGCAGCAGAGCCGCTGTCGTTGCCGTCGGGAGGAGATGGACTAGGGGTTTCCGTCGTTGGACGCGACGGACTCTTGGCGGCGGCGACGCACCGATCGCCGCGCCTTCTCGCGTTTGGCCGCCAGGCCGCCGGCGTCCTTGATGCTGGCGGTGCGACGGCGAGCGGAGGAGTTAGCGGCGGCCGTGTGAGAGACTGATGACGAGGGGCTGACGGGAGACTTGGGTGTTGGGGAGGCGGTAGCGGCAGCATTGCCGCCCTCCGCGGCCTTGCGCAGCACCATGAGCTCCTCGATGGGCTGCTCGCCAGCCAGTCGCAGCTGCGTGCCCGAGGCCACGTTTCGGCGCATCGAGCTCGTCCGCTTGATGTTGACGTCCGGCTGCTGGCCCTTGATGCTGCGGCTCTTGCGCAGGCCGGTGCCGGGCGTCACGTGCGCCGCGTTCGAGTCCGGCGCCAGGTCCTGGACGTTCACCAGCCGCGAGGCGCTGCGGGCGCGGTAGTTAAAGTCGTGCGGCGCGAAGCTGGCCGAGCGGCGCGGTAGCTGCGACGCGGCCGTGTTGGCGGGGGCGGCCGGCAGCTTGGCTTCCTGGCTCCGCTTTCCGGGGCTGAAGCTCTGCTTGCGCACGATGGAGGTGGTGCGCGATCGCCGCTGGTACGCGCCGCCGTCGCCGTCGGCCGGCTGCGCAAACGCCGTGTTTATCTGCGCCTCGCTGGTACGCGGGGACAGCGACGCGCCCGGCATCGGGCACATGGTGGAGTTCGGCTGCGAGTTGGACCCGGTCGCCGCCGGCTCCAGCTTGTCCTTGGAGCTGTCGATGGTGTCGATGCTGGACGACGACGTGCTCGACGAGGAACACGCGGAGATGTTGACGCTGTTGACGGACGTGCACGAGCTGCGCGTCAGCATGGCATCGGACCTCGACTCGCTGCAGGTGAGCGCGTTCACGCTGCTGAGGCTTGTTGGGGCGGTTGCGCTGGATGTGCCACGTTCGGTGCAGCGAATATCACCATCATCATCGCCGCCGCCAGAAGCTGGGCCGCTAGCTGGAGTTTCCTGAGTGGCGTCGGCGTCAGACACGGATTCTGTGCAGCGAATAACACCAGATGGAGTTTCCTGAGTGGTGTCGGCGTCAGACACGGATTCTGTGCAGCGAATATCACCAGATGGAGTTTCCTGAGTGGTGTCGGCGTCAGACACGGGTTCTGTGCCACGAATGTCACCAGATGGAGTTTCCTGAGTGGTGTCGGCGTCAGACACGGATTCGGTGCAACGAATGTCACCAGATGGAGTTTCCTGAGTGGTGTCGGCGTCAGACATGGATTCGGTGCAGCGAATATCACCAGATGGAGTTTCCTGAGTGGTGTCGGCGTCAGACACGGGTTCTGTGCAACGAATGTCACCAGATGGAGTTTCATGAGTGGTGTCGGAGTCAGACACGGATTCGGTGCAACGAATGTCACCAGTTGGAGTTTCCTGAGTGGTGTCGGCGTCAGACACGGATTCTGTGCAGCGAATATCACCAGATGGAGTTTCCTGAGTGGTGTCGGCGTCAGACACGAGTTCTGTGCCACGAATGTCACCAGATGGAGTTTCCTGAGTGGTGTTGGCGTCAGACACGGATTCGGTGCAACGAATGTCACCAGATGGAGTTTCCTGAGTGGTGTCGGCGTCAGACACGGATTCGGTGCAACGAATGTCACCAGATGGAGTTTCCTGAGTGGAGGCAGTGCTGGACACGGATTCTGCACAGCAAGTATCACCATCGTCGCTGCCAGCAGCTGGGCCGCCACATGGAATTTCCGGAGTGGCGACGGCGTCAGACGTGGATTCTGTACACGCGACACCATCACTACTACCAATACTACCACCACCACTTGTGCCGGGACTGGTTTCCTTGGTGGGGCTTGCCGGCGGTGCTTCCTGCTCAGAGGTTGCTAGGCTGGGTGTGCACTTTGTGTATATATCATCAGCGCCGCCACCAGCAGCCGAGCCGCTAGATGGAGTTTCCTGAGCGGAGACGGCGTCGGGTACGGGTTTTGCGCAGCGAATATCACCGGATGGAGTTTCGTGAGAGGAGACCGTTTCGGACGCGGATTCTGTGCAGGTGACATCGCCACTACTACCACCGCCACCAGCATCACTGGCATCGGTACTGGTGCCCTTGTTGAGCGATGACACGGATTCTGCACAAGTGACATCACCACTGCCACTGCCAATACCACCACCACTACCACTCGTATCAGAACTGATCTCCTTGCTGTGGAGCGACGGCGGCTTGGCGTTGTGTACGCGGCTGGTGCTGCTTCGTTTCGGCTTGGCCTTGTGCGCGCGGATGGGAATGGCAACGAGCTGGATTTCGCCGGGAAAGTCGTACTGCAGGAACTCGTCGTCCGTGTACGGATTACACGGGTCGTGATGGCCCTCTTCCCGCGCAGTGAGATGTGGCGGCGGATTCTGGGGACACGGCGGCGGTGTCGGCGGACTGTACTGCCCGTCGCACGTGCTGTCGCTCTCCGAGTTGTCGTCGTCGTCGTCGTCGACCGAGCTGTCAAACGCGGTGCCACTGTGACTGATGCGAGGCCCGCGGTTGCTGTCGATCGAGTCCGACATACTCTGCATGAACGAGGCCGGCGGTATCGGAACGGCCGCGTCCCTCACGTCCACACTGCTGCTGCTGGACATGAGGCGCTGGAAACTCTCCCGCGCCGAGCTCTCCGCCTCGGACATGGAGTTCTTCAGGCGCACGGAGAGCTTGCGGCTGACGTTCTTGAGAACGCCACTGGTGCGATCCGTGAAGGATATCTCGCTGGTGATGGAGATGTTGTCGGAGCAGTCGAGGCTCGCCTTGCTGGTCGAGCGCGATATATCACCCCCCTTGCTGGTCTTGATCTTCAGGTTGCTGGCCAGCGACTTCACCGAGCTCAGCATCTCGTGTTTCTTGGCGAGCAGCGTTTCGTCGGCGCTCACGCCCATGCTGGCCAGCTTGGAGCGGACGCTGCCGCGTGCCGTTCGATACCCGCCTCCGCCACCACCACTGGTACTTCCCTGGCTGCTGGCGCTGACGTTGCCAGGACTACCCGCATTGGCAGCGGCAGCACCACTGTCAGCGTGTAATGTATCCGGCAGGCTGTTGGCCTGGCCGCCGCGCGCCATGGCACGCTTCATCGGCGGCAGCTGCGGCTGCTGCTGGCCGCCGCTGTTGCCACCAGTCGTTGGCCGTGCGGACTGCGGCAATGGCGGCGCGTTTGTGGGGGCTAACGTGGGCGCCCCCACCGCCACCGAGCCCTTGCTGTCGAGGGAGTCGGTGCGGCTGCCGCGCGGACTGAACATGCTCATGCTGACCAGAGAGATGGCATCGGGATCGGTCAGTGCCTTGAACTCCTCCAGCGAGGACAGGCTGATCGCTCCCAGGGAGCAGCGCGCCACCTCACGGCCGGGGAACGAGGACAGAGAGCCCACATCGTCGTTGCCTCCCGAGTTGTTGATGTTGGCAAGCACCGATGCCGGTATGGACCCCTCCGACGCCTGGCGGCTGACTCTGGTGCGCCGTGCCGACGAAGTGCGACGTGGCGGCTTCGGCAGCACAGGCTGGTCGGCGACGTGATCCACCGAGGGGTTCTTAAGCAGCTCTGGCACGGTGTCCTCTGGCTCCGGCGTCTGCTTGTTCTGCACACTGATGTCGGTCATCTCCATGTAGCACTCTTCAGACTCGGCCATGTCCAACAAGTACGTCTGATCCGCACTGTCATTGACTGCGGCTGCAGGCGGCGGCTCGGTAGGGCCCAGAGCCGGTGGGTGAACCTCCTCGGACGCCGAGCGAACGCCAAGCGACGGCACACGACACGCGGACACGGACGACGACCTCCGCGGCACGGCCGGCAGCGGCTCGTCGGCTGCCGTCATCGTCACGGTAACGGGCGTAGGCACCGCAGCCGCCGCGGGGGCAACCACCGCCGTCAACGGCAACGGCGAGCAGGACTGCACGGAGTTGCTGGCCTTGCAGCTGCTCTGGCTGCTGGTGCGACTGAGTGATGCGCCCGGCGGAGTCGGACACCCGTCCACCATCTCCATGTACACGTCGTCGCCACCACCAAGCTCAGCGACGAGGGCGGTTGAGGACGAGCAGGGGCCGATGCTGGGCGCCGCTGACGCACCGCCGAAGCCCATGGTGGACGCGGACGAGGAGCGTCGCGTGCTCGGACTGGTGATAGCCGCCTTCAGGCTCATGCCCAGGGTGGAGGCGTGCGAGGCCCGTCGGCCCTCTGACGGACTCTGCAACGTCGAGTCGCGCTTGTTACGTATTGAGCCCACCAGGCGACGCACAGAGTTGCCTTTCCGCTTAGCAAAGCCACCGCCTCCCGTACTAGACGGGCTGCCGACATCGTTGGCCGCATTGTCGCCGGGAACGACCACGCTAGGCCCAGCAAGAGGTGCCACATCCGAGGCGGTACTGCTTACGGAGTCTGGCGGTCCTTGCTGGTTGTGCAAGAGCTGCGTTGAGTTAGTCTTGATCTTGGCCACGCGCTTCGAGACCTTTCGTGACAGCTTGGAAGCAGCCTGCAGCACCACAAGCAGGAGAGAGATATGATTAATAGAGAAAGAGTGGGCGTGCTCGTGTGTGTGCGTGTGTGCGTGCATATGAGTGTGTGTGTGTGAGAGAGAGAGAGAGTGAGAGAGAGAGAGTGAGAGAGAGAGTTAGGAGAGAGAGACGCACACAGGCACACAAACAGGGAGACTCAATTGATGTTTGCTAATAATAATAATAAACACAGCTCGCATCTTCCCTGAACCCGTTAGACAGGAGCAGAGTCGACGCATCTGTCAACAGTGTCAAGCCAAGTTAGTCTATCTCCTGCAGCTTGGAGAGCGCTCTCCACGGAGAGATCCGCTGCCTTCAGGTCGTGCCGAATCGTATCTATCCACCGCAATGGCGGACGGCCACGGGGTTTTTTTATGTCGTTTGTGTTGATTGATAGCTCCAGTGCTTGGAACGAGGCGGATTCCGGACCCTCTCGCACCACATGGCCAAACCACAGCAGCCTGCGTCGCCGACATGTGGCACTAACTGGAGATTGTTTCTGTGTATATGTTTGCTAGCTCAGTGTGAATCTATAAGCTGTGCCCCCCCCCCCCCCCCCGCAACAGATGCTGTTTCTCTTCTGGGGTATAAGCCCCCCCCCCCCCCAATAGATATACGAGAGAGCTGGCGAATCAGGCATAACTGATCCTTAATGCTACATAGTATTACCGGCAGTGCACAATACAATAATTGAGCCAGAGCGCGCTAAAACATGACCACAGCTTTTTTTGGAAAAAAGTCGAGAAAAACGCGATTTGAATTCCATGGCAAAAAAATACGAAGTGCAGTGCAACGCGAGTCGCTGTTGTTATTCTCCTCGGTCGACTGGACTGTTGCGGATGCATTTCTTTGTTGCAAGTAAGTTTATTTGTTTGAGTTTGTATTCCATGTTGCGCTGAATCGCCTAAAACTGATCGTCATCGATGTATCGACGGAAGAGCCTAGTAGTAGTAATGTACTGCGGAGCGGAAGAAGACGACATCCTCGCACTCCATGCGCAGGATGAAATATTTTGAGGATTCGGGTCGGAAACAGAAGGAAGACGATGATGGCTACAGCGACGAGTCATTTGAGGGCGACACTTTCAGCGAGCATAAAATAATTGATGCTGGTAGTCCCACGACTTGCAGTGACGAGGAATTCTACTCTGATGACAACCTGGCAAGCGATTGGCATCGACACTGACTTGGGAGGTGAGTCAGCCTATGATTTGATCAGAATGGACATCGCTGCACATATCCGGGACAATGCCGGTATTGGTTGCAAGTGCAAAAACAAACAATGGACTCTGCTGCTCCCTCAACTTGCTCAAGTCGATAATTTGAGTACCCTTATGCGGAACATCGCTAGCACGAGCAGTAGGCAGCGAAAGCAGTACTCTCTGGCGAGCGGAGAAAACCGTGTGCGGATGGGCTTTGGTGTGGGAAATATGAGTGTGACGTCCAGTATGTTGAGGAAGACTGTGTGCAGCAGTGTATACTGTATATCTGAAAGTACAGGTGGAGTGTGATGGAGAGGACGTGGAGTGCCAACTTCTTCGGCTATCTACAGATGTTGACCGCGTTTTTGCTGGTGGTTCTCCAGTGGTGCTCCAACCAGGAGGTATTTCGAACACCCATCTCAGCTGCCTATCTCTTTGTCTGTCACCAGTTAATCCCATATATTATAGGATTAGACTTCAAGACGCATTTGCCGCCTCGAAAATGGTCGATGTGTGAAGCAATGTTATTGAAGATGCATTTTGATCTTTCCCACAATGCCTCTCCTTATTTAAAATGAATGAATAGAGGTTACTCACTGGCTAAGACCCCCAGGAAAGGTATCTGTGTGCAATTATTGCTGATGAATTGCAATTACAAGTGGTAGAAATAGACAAGGAGTGGAATAGATGAATATTAGCACCATCCTAGCATTGAAGTAGTGTTGTAAAGTGCCCGCAGATCAATATGAACTAAAGACACTACATGTTTGGGGCATTTACTAAATCAGTTGTGTTCAAGTATGTACACATATTAATTGTGGAATACTCTTTTGGTACTAGCCTAGGAGGTGCTTCTTCTTTAGCCATAGATGCATAGAAAGTTTTTGTTAGCTCCATATGGGCTATATCTAGGCTTGGATATTGCCAACTATGGTTTTTATTGGCAGGGGAAACTGGGAAGAACAAAACCAATTTTTGAAGAGGCCAAATCCTATAATTATATAGGATTTTGAAAATTCTGGACACTCTTGCACGGGAAGGCCTGTTACAGAAAAAGTAAAGCCCTTGTGCTGGTGGAACTTGGCAGGCATCATCTCTGATAAACACGGAATGCAGACTCCAACAGGTTTTTGAAGAAAGAACTTTACGTTGTAAGGTATGATCTACTCTTTCCCAAAAATTGGGAAAAATCTTATATATATATATTATAGGATTTGACAGACAAAGAGATAGGAATTTTGGATGTGGCCGAGTACCTGTCACCTCATACTATAAGACCCTGGACAGAGGAACTGACCTGGAAAGGATGAACCAAGGGACATGTCAACTGTGTGCAAAATGACAATCCCATTGCTGTACATAGAATTTCACCATTTCAACAGTGCTGCATATAATACCATTGCAGCAACACTTAGACATGTCCGATCAATCCAAAACTTTCATACATTGAACATTAGGTGTGTTTGATCATTTTTGAACAAAAAACTGAAATACGAATTTTTGGTCTGTGGTCATATTTTAGCGTGCCCTGGCTCATATGTACATGCGTATCCAATGTGTACAGGCCCAGCCAATTCTGCACCAAGGGCACCAACATTTCCGGAGTGCAAGCCGAACTGGAGTGTAATCCGCACCCAGATTCTAGTCACGAAACACAGACATCCACCCTGCATTTCATGGCTGATTTGACCAGCGTTGTGCAAGCCACGTCGGCATGTTATTGGGTGAGTCACAAGGACTTGAAGTAAAGTGAAACCTGTCTAAGGCGACCACTCAAGGGACGAGAAGAAGTAGTCACCTTGGCCAGGTGGTCTTCTTATCCAGGTTCAGTGGGTCACGTGAACATATTCACTATACATGTACCGTAAAGTACCGTTGATCCGCCCCCCACGCCATGTCGCTTCCCAGCTGGATTTTCGGCAGGGGGCGGGAATTAGATCAAGGCTGTCAAGTGCAGTACGATGTGCAACGACGTGGAGGATCAGACTCGATGTGCTAAATTGTGCACTTTTTCATCCTGGATTGGCAAGTATTGTGTACAGCAGTGCATGCGTCGGTTCAACATCGTATTTCGTTGTATACGCCGAAGTCGCTTCACAGGTAGAAAATCGACAGGGGCGGGAATTAGAGAGGGGGCGGATCAACGGTACTTCAGGGTACATGCGATATGTCATTTTGATCACTGCATCACGCTGCACACACCTACAACAACATGTACATACCGTAAAGCCTTGTATAAAAGCCGCGGCTTCTATGACTTTCTTGGTGAAATTTTGCAGGCTTCTATGTGAGACCGGCTTCTATACAAGACAGGTATTTCTATGTATGTCAACACTAAAACCAGGCTTACGTGTGATTTGATGGGCCCAAAATTGCGGCTTCTATTCAAGTGCAGCTTTTATACAAGACTTTTTATGTATATAATAAATGTAGAGCCGAAGGATTTCTTGCAATTACATACCAGTATAAAAACCGAGGTCGCCCGAGGTTTTTATAACTGGTATGTAATTGCAATAAATCCTGAGGCTACTACATTTATTATACATATGTTGACCTTCGCTTTCCCTAAAAAGGAGTATTTTATAAACAGCATTTATTGGCCTTCGTGGTATTTTATAAACAGTATTTATTGGCCCAAAAGCCAATAAATACTGTTTATAAAACACTCCTTTTTAGAGAAAAGTGCAGTGCTGCATGGAAAAGTACAGTGGTATTTATTGAGTCAAGCAAGTTTATTTGAATTTGATACTGTTGATGGTGTGGCCACAAATGAGTGTGGGTATTTATCAAAGGTCAATATATACGGTAATAATAAAACATGTCATTGTATGCTACTATCACGACTCATATGCTGGGTGGGGGCCTCAGACCTGTCTAGTCTCGTGCACACACCATTTTAAAACATCTACACTTCCTGCGCTGATGTGTAGATCTACCGTGTGTGGTGCACAGTGCAATGCGTGCATGCATATGCACTAGCAGGCTGCAACGCGGGCGCGGGCGCGCGATCGTTGGTCGCGTTGAGCGAGTGGTCGCCTCGTCCGAGCTGTTTTGAATGTGAATGCGTCCGTGACAAGGAAAAGCGGTCGCCATGTTCGAGTGGTCGCCATTCCAAGTTTTACTGTAGTTAAAATGCAGCTTATGGGGTCGTTTTCGGCACTTGTGCCAGTGGTTGTGAGACTTATCCACTCACCCCCACCGTTAGGCACTGCATCTGCCGCTAGGGTTTATCAGGTGTTAGCGGCCGTCGTGAGTTCCCTTCGGGAACGGACAAGATAATTTAATTTTCTTTTTTTTAATGCAGCTTACACTCTGGATAATACCAAGAGTACATAACCCCAAGAGTGTGCAACTCCAGCTATGGGGTCTGCAACGGCAGAACTTCACATCACATGATGAACCCGTACACATTATTTGCACTCTGTGCATGATAGATACTGGGTTGTACGCAGCCCAGCTTTGGGTACAACTCTCTTGTGATCACTTTGCACTGTTTGCCAGCATAACCTTTTGAACCATGTCACGTGATGTGAAGTTCTGCCGTCGCAGCGCAGCATAGAGGTTGTGCAGGCAGTTGCACTCTTGGGGTTATGTACTCTTGAGAATAGGGAGGTTTAGTCCCACGTAATCCGTGGGTACTTTACGTGTGTGTACCACGTGATACTCAGTGACCCACGTACAGACGTTTTCTGATTCACGACATACCGTGTATGGAGGCTCACCCACGTTCCGCCAGAACGTGGGTGAAAATCAGAATGGAGCGCATTGTGCGAGCTGTGAGGGTGCTCCGCTGAAGAAGTTTCCGAAGCACAAAATCAAAATATTGGATGAGCTTCTTAGGCCGGGGTAGCTTCGTCTTTGACCAGGTTTTGGCCTTTCGCTTCATGCTTTTGTTTGTTCCGTGTGACTAAACACAACATTGCAACGTGGGTGCCCTTCATCCACTTTACGTGGATCACCCCTGTACGCGTTTCCGTTACGTGGGAACTAAACCTCCCTAATACGGTATACAAAACCCGCACTTCTCTACGGTTCATTCATCGGAAACTTTGGCTTTCGAAAGTCGGATTTGGGCCAAATTGAGGATCAAAAACCCACTTTAAATCTCACAAATCTGGGTTTTGGATCTGCGTCTCCATACATTTTGCCATGGCATACCTGTTCTGATTTTGTAAAACCTGGCTGAATTTCTATTTCCCTGTTCTTGGACTTTTCTGGCCTCAAATGTGGCAATGAGTAATTGCACGGGTCACACAATGCAGGATGTACTGTTGTTTTCACGATATCTACAACTATGTGAGAGAGAGACACCAAAAAGTTAGGGTGCCAGTTTCCAATGAATGGAGTCTAAGTACCTATAAAATCAAAGAAAGCTCTCTATTCACTGGTTTGAGGGAAAGACGCAACCGGAAAATTCTGAAGAAAAAAACTGACTGTCACCTCCAGGAATCTTTATACTGGCAATATTCGCTATCATATCGCATAGAAAAACTTACATCTTTCAGGCCTCCAGCTTGACTCTGTTGAATGTGAACATGCAACATAGAGAGAGAGAGAGAGAGAGAGAGAGAGAGAGAGAGAGAGAGAGAGAGAGAGAGAGAGAGAGAGAGAGAGAGAGAGAGAGAGAGAGAGAGAGAGAGAGAGAGAGAGAGAGAGAGAGAGAGAGAGAGAGAGAGAGAGAGAGAGAGAGAGAGAGAGAGAGAGAGAGAGAGAGAGAGAGAGAGAGAGAGAGAGAGAGAGAGAGAGAGCGAGAGATAGAGAGAGAGAGAGAGAGAGAGAGAGAGAGAGAGAGAGAGAGGGAGGGAGGGAGGGAGGGAGGGAGGGAGGGAGGGAGGGAGGGAGGGAGGGAGGGAGGGAGAGAGAGAGAGAGAGAGAGAGAGAGACAGAGAGAGAGAGACAGAGATACAGAGGCAGACAGACAGATAGAGACAGAGAGAGGTTAGACACATGTGCAGACATGCTGGCCCAAAGCCAATTTCAGGCTGAATTCAAATGATGTCTTTAACAGAAAATCTGCCGTGATCATGCTGGGGATTTGCATACGCGCAGTGAGTTGCTGTCAGAGAGTGCTTTTTTTAGTACTCCGCTGCTCGCTAAAAACGGGCTGGAAACGTACAACTGCGACACTGCACCACGTAATGTGAGTTTTCGCCGTCGGCGTACCCCATAGAAAGGGTATCAGGAGTTGCACACTCTTGGGGGGTTAAATACTCTTGGTACTATGATATACATGACTTTTCAGACTTTTCATGTACATGTAGTTGTAGGACGTGCATTGCCTTTGGTAGACCTACTACTCACTGTACTTAGCTACTAGTACTTGACATAGGTGCAGTCAGAAAACATGGGGTCAGGAGTTCTTATTTTCGAGCTGGGCATCGGTAAAAAATCAAAAAATTAATGGGAAAAATGGGGGTGGGGGTCAGAGACAATTTTGCACGAGGACGGATTTTTTAATTTTTCGAAAATCGCGGACGACCCCTTAACCCTTTCAGTGCCAAGGACGAGATACCTCGTCCTCAGACCCCCACGCGATTGGCCAAGGACAAGATATCTCGTCCTCGTAGTGCGCACGTTATATTGCAGTGCATAGACCAGTGTACAAAATAGCGTAACTCTGTGAAACATAAACGCATCGCGACAATCAATACACCGTTGGAAAGGTCTTGAGCTCATCTTTCCGCGGATATAACATTCGTCGCGATGGGATAAAGAATCACTGAGCGGCGACAGGATGAACACCAAAATCACGAGCCGGAGCGTACACAAATGTTTTTGTTCATGACTTCGCAGTTTTTTGGAGCGTGCTAGGGGATTTCCCTTTGGCACGACGCATGCGTGATGGATATCAAACGAAGCGCTTGGATCTCAGCTTTGCAGCGCAGTTCGAATCGTGAAAATCGGTTGAATTTTGGGCAAGATGCCGAACAAGAACGTGAGATTGAGTTGTTGTGCCGTTCCGAGGCACGGTGTAGTAGTTCGGAGAGGAGGCGGAAGAGGCCCTGGTGTGTCTATGTTGCTGAGATCTACCATGATGGATTCGCTTGGTCCTGATCTTTCCAACGAGCCCAGGATGATGAAAATCCATCATGGTGGAGTGAAATGAGAATAAATTCCATTCAGAGCTGTGCGCGCAAACTACACCAAGAGAGTCAGTGCACTGGACAGCCGGCCGATTGGAGAAAAGGGGCCCAGCATGGAAAGGGTTAACGAAGAATATTCTTTTTCCACCTTGCATATTTCGAATATTCGAATAATTCGAATATTCCTTTCAGCCCTAGATTCAACACAGACCAGTGTACTCTTGTTTGGTTTAACCCATTTAGCGCTAAAGACGTATGTATACATGTACGTCATTGAAAAATGAGGCCCAGGTGCTGAGGATGTATATACTATGTCTTTTTCAATGGCAAATAAGGAGTTCAGAGCCAGGGTGCTATAATCTGTAGCCTTAATTTGGTTGAAACATACAGCGCGTCAAACTCAAAGGCTCACCTCTTTCAGTCCACCGGCTTGATTCTGTTGATAGTCCGGGTCATTGCCGAGCACAACACACACAAACGCACACACAAACACATACACGGGCGGAGAGAGTGAGACATACATACCGTATTTCCACAAATAGTAGGCCGGTCTACTATTTTTTCAACCTCGTCCTAACCCGGCCTTATAATCGAGGACGGTCTTGTATTCGAGGACAGTCTTGTATTCGAGGACGGTCTTTTATTCTTTCAACCCAGTTTGACCCCGGTCTTCTATTTCTCGCCACACAGTTTTACCCCCGTTCTTCCATTTTCTTCTACACAGTTTGAGACGGTCTTCTATTTTTTCCCACAGTTTGAGCACGGTCTTCTATTTTTTCCCACAGTTTGAGCACGGTCTTCTATTTTTTCCCACAGTTTGAGCACGGTCTTCTATTTTTAACACAAGAACAAAGACTCATTTAGTAGGCCCGGTCTTCTAATCGGAGACAATCTTTTATTTTTTCAATCGCCCCCTGCCCCGGCCTTGTATACGAGGAAGGCGTTGTATACGAGGACGGCCTTTTATTTGCGGAAATACGGTACATACACACACACACACACACACACACAGATTGAGAAAGACAAAATGAAAACACAATGCAGGCACGAATGGGTACAGAATAAGACACAGCGAAAGCAATTCAAACCTCAAGCTCTGCTGCATTTTCAATGTACTTTATGCTCACAATGGTTAGAGAAGTTCACATTCTCCTTTCTCCCTTCAGGTCCGGAGTTAGCTCCTGAAGGCCTGTACCGTTTCAGATGGGCTACAGGGTCGAACATTTCCCCAATGCCCAATACAGGTCTATCCTCGTTAGTGCGACATCGGTTACAAGACAACGGTGATGGTGATGCAGGGCACACGATAACGGTCGGACATCGGACATTTTCCGACCATTTTCGATTCGAATCCGGTGCTTTTTTTCTTGAACGGACAATCTGTCCGATCGAAATTCACAAAATAGCGTCGCTGGGAAAGAGAACGGCTGAGGACAATGGCGCTCTGCCTGGGAAGAAGTCTCACGAAGTCAGAGCAGCAACCTGTGACAACAGGGTTTTACAGCAAGACAGGGAGCTGTCCACTTCAGTGTAGCTCCAGTTTGAGCGTAGCAAACGATCGAGGAGTTTTGAAATGAAATTTCTTCCTTTCTCGCTACAATAGGGACTATTCCGCGAGGCGCTTGTACAATCCGAAATATTGAAAACGTCCCTGTTCCAGGGAAACAAGGCGTCAGAAATGTGTGCCAGCTTGCGATATGCCTCTATCGAAAGGAGCAGTCTTCTGCAAATCCAGTCAAGTACGCTCCTGTTGCACAGGCGCTGTGCAAGATCGACGGAGCAGCAGCAGCGAAATAAGTCAGAAGTTCAACGTCGCGTAGAAACTACGTGCTGTTCAAAGAGCACATCGCGTTTGCAAAGATGGGAGCCTTCAGCCAACTCGAGTAGTGACATGTTGTCGATCTTGGAGTTGGCAACAAGAACTTAGAATGGGCAAGCGGATGCCCACTTTGTCTTTTGTCGACTGCGTAAAAATGAATGTCTTTGATCTGCCGCTGAAAAACCAGGTCAAATCCGAAATGTGCAGAAACACTGCACACTCATATCACAGTTACTATGCTTGCTGAAAAACGCACAGCGATTTGAATCAGAGTTACAATACTGGAGATCAGTGTGATGATCATCCTTGATGTGACCAGCAATACGGTATACCACAGGGTGATGTAGCATGTACCGGTACACCGGTACATGCATGTGTGCATTATATAAGCAGTGGTGTCGTGTAGCCAATAATAATAATTATTTTTTATTATGAGTGCTGAGTACCAGACTTGTAAAAAAAATCACAGTGTCCGGCCATGTCCGACCGGTTCCAGAAGTGGCAGGACATTGTGTCAGAGCAATTTCGAAATCTTATCGTGTCCCCTGTGATGGTGGTTTTGCTGGTGGTAGTGGTCATGGTTTTGCTGGTGGTGGTGGTAGTGGTGCTGCTAGTGGTAGTGCTAGTGGTGGTGCTGGTGGTGCTGGTGATGGTGGTGATGGTGGTGGTTGTTATATCATCCGTATCATGCCTGTCATGACTGTCTGAAGCTATTGTCTGTGTTGTGGTTGACTTCACTCCTTAGTGCTATTGACTGGCTTTTCGTACAATACCTATTGTTGTCTAGAGACATACTGTCTAGCCTTCCCCTCGTGAGCTTATTGGTACACTATCCAGCTGTCCAGCGGCTCTCCTGCCCCCGCTCTCTAACTTGCTATACTCTTCTTTATACTCTATAAGTTCGTGTCTTCTTTACAATAAAATCAGTTCAGTGACTGACGAGTTCGAGATCACAACAGTGGTGGTGGTTGTGATGATGGTGGTGCTGGTGGGAGAGGGGGGGGGGGGGGGGAAGCAAGTTGCAACATCAACAATATGCATGCAGCAGCATGGCATGTTTGCAGCAAGTGACGGAGGTTGTGCAGGTGATAGTGCAAGTGGTGGTGCAGGTAGGTGGAATGTGGTGATACATCCATTGCTGACAGCGAAGTTCTGGCGTAGTGGTGACAGTGCCGTTGTTGTTCTTGCTTTTGTGGTAGAACACTTAGCAGTAGCAGCAGCAACGGTGGTGACGGCGGTGGTGGTTGTGATGGTGATGGTGGTTGTGGTGGTGGTTGTGATGGTGATGGTGGTGGTGGTTGTGGTGTTGTTGTTGGCAGTTGTTGTGGGGGTAGTGGTGGTGGTTGTGGCGGTGGTGCTGGTGGCGGCAGTTGTGGTGGTGGTGCTGGTGGTGCTTGTAGTGGTGGTGCTGGTGCTGGTAGTGGTGGTGCTGGTGGCGGCAGTTGTGGTGGTGGTGCTGGTGCTTGGTGCTGGTGGCGGCAGTTGTGGTGGTGGTGCTGGTGGGAGCAACTGAACAACAGGTCTGTTCAATTGACAGAGACTTTTCACTGGATTCTTTGAACATCATTTGCGCACTACTACATGTTAAGAAGTTATGCTAGCTACTTGGTACACTGGTCAACACACGCACACACCTGTACACGTACACATACGCACACACAACCGCACACGCACATGCACACATATGTACGCACCCACACCCACACACACACACATCCACCCACACCCACACCCACACACACACGCATCCACCCACACACGCATCCACCCACACCCACACCCACACACAACCGCACACAAGCAATGACACATCCATACACAGACACAGCCATCACACACACACACACACACACACACACACACACACACACACACACACACACACAAACACACAAGCACACAAGCACACACACACACGCACAACGTCCGATAAACTACACGACACGGATTTTGTAGTTTCGCGTCAGCTGAAAGCGACAGCACTTCACTTGCTACAATTACAACACACTACAACGGCTACCAAGAAAACAATGCACCTTGGGACTGTGCTGCAAAGGCCTTATAGCAAGGTACATGTACTGTCGTGGGCATTGAAATCCGATGGGATGACCGGGGCCAGGCCGGCGGCCTTATTGCTTTCACAAGTCTAGCGCGCACATGCACTGTACCTCACGTGCACACTGTAAAAATGGACCAGCAGTGCTCGCGGCTGCAAGGCCAGAGCCCCGTGGTGGCTTGACTTCCTAAAGGATTTCAATGTCCGCGGCAGTACATGGGTCTGGCTGCAAGTCACCTGGCCAAGGAAACCTGGCCAAAGCAACTCTGTGATTTGAGAGAGAGAGCTCTGTGAGTTGCTTTGCAACTGGTGTCAGTGTGTGCTTTTCAGTACGTAGAGAGCTGTTTTCTGACTTGTCAGTCCAATGCTGAGGTCACGACTTCACCATCTTCGTGCGTGTGTGTGCCAACCCACACGTATTCGACAACCAACCCACACGTATTCGACAGCCCATGGATGTGAAATGTTGACCGAAGCAATCCCAGACTGATGACCTTCTCTACCTCCTCGCTCTCTGCACCTAGTACGCTACTGCCTACGGGGCAACACTGCATAACCCACAGAGCACGATGATCCTTCGGATGAACGACGACGACGACGTTCTCGATCAGCATTTCAAGATTTCATAGTCTCGCTCTGGTCGTGGCCACAGCTACTGCTGACCACCCATCAACCAATCACTGTGTGCTGTGTATGCCGACCAACGGCCAAGGGAAACACGTCGAAAACACTACGAAATAATTGCTAAACATGCTCAAACATGGTCACGTATTTTTATTTGCTGAACACTGTACGCCTTGCCGGACACACATGCACCATTGGCCGTGGCTTACTATGCGTATTACAAACACAATGGCTGCTCACCTCGCTGCTGGCACTCATGGTAATCTAGAGACCGGATGGCGAAACTGGCAACTCGTCCCCAATGACAACTCAAGCAGGAGATCCGCCGGACCACATTATAGTGTCGTTGTTCGCCGTTCTAAATCTTCATAAGCCGGGCAGCAGCAGCACAAGTAATGACTTCGCTCTACGGTCTTCTCAGCTTCACTCAGATCTGTATCGTGTGAACTTGCTTTCATTGTCGAAATGAACGTCGTCCACAAGCAAATCTGTTTGCTTCACTACAGTCTACCTGGTCTACAGTAAAAATGTTTCGTCCAACCACGAGATGATGCTCATGCAGACAGCATACCATACTTTTGTCTACGCAGAGGAAAGCCACAAGAAAAAGCAAGGTAAACTCTGCCTCTGATCTGAGAGCAGTTTTGGTAAACTAGCGTACCTATGCTCCTAAAACGTCGAAATCGGGTGGTATACGGTAGCCGACCCTTTTCCATCAGTAGGTACTGGAACGGTATACCCGGTACTGGAACGAACGAATCGAGCAAAAACGGATGGGCTCGTACGAGAAATTGTGAGTTTGAGTGCATGCTTTCAGAGCGTGATGAAGGCAAGTTACGTAATGAAGGCAGCGCGCCGCGCACTGACCCATAACCACAGTTGCATACTCTTGTGTATGCAGTCTTGGTACGACTCCGGATCCCTGATTGCATTGCCGCAGTGCGCGGATGCAGCTATACTATACAACTATTCAAAAAGAAAAGAAATAAAAAAGCTATACTACAATTATAATTATGCAATAGCTAGCTACACAGTACTCCGTACGTACCATGCATACTGTACTATAAAGTAATTTGAATTTCTCTGCTTTCTTTTTCCTTTCTTGACGAAATCCCAAGATTATGCCAAATATTATGCCGGCATAATCCGCCAAGGGCTACCCGTTGTTGCCTTGATACATGTATATGTATATAGCGGCTAATGGAGATGCATGCGAGTGGTGTGCAGGCCACCTCAGCGCTCTTCATCCGACCCGTAGAGGATATGAATGGCCATAATTATTTCTAGTGGTTCTCCACGTCAAGAGTCCACCCATGATCCACCCGCCAGCTCGCTTAACCAGTGATCTCTTTTCTTCTTCTCTTTTTTCTCTTTTTTTTACGAGAGATCATGATTCTCCAATCCACCATTTCATATTACATGTACATGTAGAATAGTCGAAGTAGTAGCATTTATTCTTTTGATAGGGAAGGCCATTCCACTTTTCTTGCTCAAATGCTGTGTTGCTCACTGCACTGCGTTGCGATCCGTTGCGCCAGTCACACTGAGGTCTTCATGAGACTGGAAACAATTCGTTGTCCGGAGATTGTATACATGCACCTTGATAAGTTAGTTACTCTTGACGTTTTCTTGATGTCCTTTTCTCCTTTTTTCCCCCATGCACATGTTGCTGGCGTGGCCAACAGCATCCCTATAGTGCTATACATGTACAGTTGACTGGTGATTGATGATTGCGGTGTGCATGAAACTCAGAGTTGCGACGTCGGAACCAGCCTTGCTCCACTGTTCTACTGCGTAATCTTGATAAAACAGAGAGGTTCCAGGCTGGCCAATAGAGTGCTCGAAAGGCAGAGCTAGTTCAAGTAATCTCAATGTTAGATAGCTAGTAATCGGTGCAGAAGTGCTGGCTAAGTGCCCAGCGTCGAGCGTTTCACCTTCACAATTCAGCTACGCGTACATAGTCACACACACACACACAGTCATGATGCACTGGAAGATCACTCATACTATCATAGAATACTACTGCTTCTATTTGGAGGACAATCTCAAATTCTTCCGGTATAGTCTCCACTCGCGTACTGGGGCTCCTGCCATGCATGAATCACCCGAGTCAATCAAGACTCCCCAGTGCAGTGTTCTCAGAGTTGACCTAGTACGTATATGGCGCTGCGCATCGACCACTCATAATTTCATTACCATGGCTTTTGTTTTTGTTTTGTTTTGGTTCGGCTGTGGGTGCTGGCCGGGTCAGGTTGTTCTTTGGCAAATTCAGTTCGATTGCATGTTGATGTGCATGTCAAACCGAGCAACAAAGAGGTCAGCGTGGTTAAAAATAGACGATTCACGGGCCTGAGATCCTGCCTTGGCCACGCGAGTATGACGCTTCCCGGATCTGCATGCTCGTCGGATTCTACTCCTGGCACTGCAGTTGGGTCCGAGAACCCCTACTCGCCTCGACCCTTTAAGACGGCAACGTCTGTAGGGCCTTCCCTATCAAAATAATAAATTCTACTACTACTACTACTACTACTACTACCCTGGAGCTTGATCCACATCAACGGGTGCGCCAAACTCTTCATCGTCTAGCCAGGTGTGAATTCGAGTGACATTCGCGCACCCAGGACCCAGGAGTCAGGACACATCTGTCACGTGATCATACAGGACAGCCATGTTGGTTCCAACTCCACTCAACTCCTAGGAGGCTGCACCAGTGCACCTATGGCTATGGACCATGTCACATGCGAGGTCGGCCATTTTTGGTTCCAAGTCAAATGCATATGAAACCAAACCACTTTACTCTACAGACTCAGTACAGGGCTAGGGGACACCCGTTTCTCAGCAGAATGGTGCACAGCAGGTGCACCGCATGCAGTGTGGCTGTGGCGGTGATCTCTCCGAGACTGAAGAAGGATACTCAACACGTGCTTCAAAGTACAGTTCAGGTGTAGAAAGGGAGAAGTAACTTACTACTATACAGTATAGTGGCTGTTGGTCACTGATTGCTTTGAAGGATCCCAGTACTGTACATTATTATGACCAGCTGACTCGGGTCGATCAGGCCAGGGTCCCCTCTCGATCTCAGGCAGTGCTGTGATGTCATTGTGATGTGGTCCAGACCAAATAAGGCGCACGAAAGTTGGCGTTCTGAGAGAACGTCATGACAACGTGCACTTGTCGGTTGCATTCTCTCTCTGCGTTGCTGAGGCATTGGGCAGGTGGACTGGGAAGTCGACTGGGTATGGGTGGATTGAACCGTGCCTTCTTGCTCCCCTCCTTTCTCGAGAGGCAACTGCTTTGTTGTCCGTCTTGCTTCTCCGGATCACCTCTTGCTTTCATACGAAGTGAAATCATCCACTTCACGCCAGCGGCTGGTTCGCACGGCACGCGCGTGCCAGGCACGTTTCGACATCTGCCGCCAGGGTTTTCAGCAGCACGTACTTACGATCGGCACTGACATGATGATCAGGCGCTTACTACTACAGCTACTGTGCATGACATAGTTTCCCTCCACGTGAGGGAAACCCCCTCGATAGACTCCATTGACTCTTGCAGCCTTGGTCAAGCCTCAAAATTAAAAAAAAATCAATCAATCCATCATTGAATTAGGATTAGCAATGCATGAAAGCATGATGGTGGCCTGGCACAAGCGAAACTTCCTAAGCTGGTGATGTTTCTCTACACAATTGTATAGCCGGTGGTAATGGGGACGTGGGAACTTGACTTTTCTTGAATACATGAACAGAACTCTCGCTGTTTGAAGCATACCGTCATGATCGATGAGTACCTAGACCATCAAGAGCACAGAACTCCTAGTGCAGGGTACATGTAGCGGAGAGGTTTGTATAATCATTACACTCTCAGGTTATTTCATATCGTGTAAGTTGGCACAAGAGAAGTGTGATACTAAAGCAGCATTGAGTATTTCACTGTTCCCTGAGATTGAAAGAGCCCAGGACGGTAAACCACAAGAACCCTTTTAGAAAGCTGCCCTAGGCTAAAGCAGTTCGTCTTCAATTTCATAAAGACTTTAAGTCAGATCGTTCAGTGTGGAGACTGTGAGCCCATGATGTACATGACTGTACATGTTTCACTAGTCTCAGCTACATGTACAAGTCATGTACTTCGAAGTATATGTACAGCTAATGTTACTTTGAGCCATTTGTACACATGCAGGGCAACCTTTCCCAGCACTAGTGCATAGGGACCGGCAGATTCTGCTCGAAAAGCAGTGAAATTGGCAGAACCATACAAACCTTATGGCGGGCAATACCTCGAATCCTGCTCCATTTCTTTATCCACATGCCAAACATGCATGAAACTTACCAGAAAAATTACCGAATTCTGCCAATTTTTCTGCCGGCAGAATCCGCCGATTCCTCCTACTAGTGCATACAATGATTATGTAGTCTGCTCTCGACGTCAACACTTTCAAGGGTAACGATGTTTCATGCACACAATACACCGACTCTAGTCTAATCGTAAATAGAGGATTGTGAAGAGAACTTGAGGGAAGAGGCTGCTAAGAGATGAGTGTCGAACAGCACATGTAGGACTCACAACAATCATTCAGGACAGGTTCTGTAGTACATGTACATGTTATGATTGTATTGCCTCAAGTGGTTATGATAGAGTACTAGCACTTGTATTCACATCCCAAGCAGCTGAACTCCAATGGCGTGTCGAAACGACCTCATACCGCCACACAAACCCTGCTGCAGCACGCTGTTGCTTCTATCCAGCGGTACTTTCTACTCTACTCGACCAGTCCGGCCAAGCAGATCCCCTGAATGCCCTCTGACGTCACGGCTGCAATGGCAGCAGCGCCCCCGTGCACTCCTCTGACCGCTGTGTCTGCCGCAGTTGCTGATGCTCGCGTCAATCTACAGCTGCAAACAAACGTTTAACAAAAAGCGTTTCTCGTAGTCTTCTACTGCCGCGGCTCTGGCCTTGCATACCCTCCAAGCTCAGGGAGACTAGCACTCCCCAAGTCCAGGCAGACATGTGTTTTCTGTCGTTGCTATGTGTATGTGCATGTACATGTATGTGCGTGCGTCTCGTGACAATGGTCAATACTGGCTCGCTCAGTCACTGTGAGTGTTCTTCCAGCACACGTGTGGACAGTTCAAGGTGACGCCCCGGTCCTGGCGGCCAGCAGCTGAGACTCCCAACTGAACTCTAGGGTCTCTCCTTCCGCGGGTTCCAGTTTTATACGTCACTCTTATAGTCTTGCATTATACAAGTAAGTCACGCCTATGCGAACTCACTGTAAACACGCGCCTACCCGTATGCACCCTCTGCGTGTGCATGGGAACAAACGCGTGGCGTGCTACATACGGCCGGGGCCTGGATCACACACATACACGCGCACACGTGTGTACGTGCGTGCATAATAGTACTACATGTAGTGGTAAAGTAGAGCTTGGGACCAAGAACAGTCGCTCAGTAAGTGCATGCATGCCGAGGCGACGCCGTACATGTAGCGTTTCACACGCACTGTTCTGTCCTGTCCTGCACAGCACGCATACGTACAGCTTGTCACCCGGTTGGTCAGCCTGACTCAGTCAAGCC